TTAAAATAAATTCGTTATATTAAAATCAATTATTCCTTCGTATCGAGAGATTTTAAAATATGTCATGTAAATTTACGAATATCATTGTTTATATCCGTAAACAAACAGAAAATTTTGCTTTTTTAAATATATATATTATAAATTTGTCGATATTGATATGAAATTCAATATGAAATATAAATCAAAATGCATGAAATTATTATTATTATGAATGAAATGTTGAATATTAATATCGTTGTTTTCTTTAATTTATATCGTTAATATTATATCGTTGTTTCGATTTTAATTTACTTTTTATAGAATTTTTATTAATTTCTTGGAATTATAAATATTCCAATTATTGCGATACAATTGAATGAAAAAAAAAATTAATAAAATATTTAAATTAAAAAAAAATAATATAAAATAAAGTTTAATATTGAAGAAAAAGAAAGATTAAAATTTGTAAAGATTAAATTTTGTCTTTTTAAAAGAATTCATATTGCTTTTTTTAGAAAAATATTTCTAAAAAATATTTCCAACGATAAAAGATCTTATACTTAATGAAGAGTTTTTAGAACAGAAAAGAAATTTTATATGAAAAGATATATTTTCTGATTTTTTATTACTTTTTCCATGAATTTCTTCGAAATAGCTCCCTGAGGTGTGCAAGGATCACTCTTCATATGAACCTGTTCGCCTCTTTTGCTGTAAATAATGCTCTATGGCTGGTATGGTATAGATGCATCGTAGCGAATACGGATTTACTGTTGAACAATGGGGTATGTATGAAGATCTTAACTCTTTGCTTAACACTCGACCCAGTAACTCGAACGAGAATTTAGTCACACCATATATCGTTCGAATAATAATGCCTTTGTAAATTCTGAAATTAAGTAGTATAGGAAACAAACATTATCTTATACATTTTTATTATTTTTATATTTTTATATTTTTTTTAACATATTATAAATTTGCTTATTTTTAGTGAAATATATATATATCAATGATAAAAACAAACTTTTTTTTAAGTTTTATTTTTTTACCTGTTTTTCTTTTTGTTTCATTTTTTATATATATTAATTGTATAAATTAAATTTTATTATATATAATATTATTATTAAAATTGATCTATTTTAAAAGATAAAAAATATTATCATAAATAAATAGAAATTAAAAAAATTAAGAAAATTAAGAAAATGATATTCTTTAAGAAATTTAGAAAAAATTAAGAAAATTAAGAAAATGATATAACTTTCAGATGACATGTCGGCTGTTGCATATTATTCTTCATTACTTTCTTCTTACTAATTATGCATGGATGTTGTGTGAAGGTTTTTATCTACATACTCTGCTTGTCAGTGCATTCACAAGCGAACAAAAATTAGTAAAATGGTTGATGATTCTTGGTTGGCCCGTACCTGCAATCATCGTCACGATTTATGCCTGTTTAAGAGCAACTAGCAATGATCTTACGGACACTGAACAGTAAGTACAATATTGATAATTTGAAATTTTAAGAGAAGAAAAACTGAAATTTTCTAGAATTTTATATATTAAAACATTATTACACTAGAATCATATATATTTATTTATATAACATTATATAATTTAAAAATTATTTACATTAATTCTTTAATGGTGATTTCAGATGTTGGATCAATGAGGGTAATTACATGAACGTACTGGTTTATCCAGTATGCGTTTCCACCTTATTGAATGTACTTTTTCTCTTCAATATCGTTCGAGTTCTATTAATGAAATTGAGAGCTGGTCCTAGCATTGGTACACAACCTTCAAGATCTATGCGTCAAGCATTTCGGTAATTAATATTTATTAATTCATATCTAAATGTTTTTTAATTTTGTTTTAGTTTAATTAAAAAAAAAATAACAATTTTTCATTTCATTAGGGCAACATTACTTCTTGTACCTCTTTTGGGTTTACATTATCTTGTTATACCCTTCAGGCCACCGAAAAATCATCCTTGGGAGCATTTCTATGAGGTTCTTTCCGCTATAACAGCTTCTTTCCAGGTAATTTCACATATTTTTCAATAGAAACTATATTTAACCATTTTCTTATATTTCACAATCAACTCTCAATTTTCTCGGATACTATATCAAATTGAATGTTAAAGTTAATTAATCTTTTATAAATATTTGAAATAAATAATTATTAAATTAAATATTATTTATAAATTTTTAAATTTTTGATGTTTTTTCTACAGGGTCTCTGTGTGGCCGTTTTATTTTGTTTCTGTAACGGTGAGGTAAGTAAACAATTATTTCTAATTATGTGAAATAAAGAAAATGTTCATTAATAAACGTTACTTTTGTTTAGGTGATAGCGCAATTTAAGAGAAAATGGGAGGGCTCAGCCTTCTTGCGGAATCGAGCCAATTCTTGTACAGCCACCACCGTCTCGGTACGGCAAATTCACAAGACATAGAACAATCATAAATTTTGTGAAAATGAAAACGCTTTGGAATGAATACCATCATCCATGTTTCTATCCTTTTTTTTCTACATCTGTATTGTTTTCTTTCATTTTTGTGTAATCTTCATTCGTAATTGTTCACGCTATAAAAATTGCTAAAATTGTTCATTTTCCTTTTCTTCTCTTTTTTAACGCTAAAATTAAATATGAGAATTAAGTTAAATTGATTCAGATCTTGAAAAATCAATGATAGAAATTGTTTAGAATTTTTATATTATGAATATATTCTAAAATATATTAAAAAAGTGAAGAATAGAAAAAATTTTAAATTTTAAAAAAAACAAAAAAAAATATATATAATAAATTTTTTAATTATTCAAATTTTATTTTTTTTCGTTCTTAGAATTAGAGATATTATGAATAATATCTATGTAAAATATGCTTATAGTTATTGGAAAGATAATAAGATAATATTGTTAAGATTTGTACAGATTTTATTAGAATCTTGTTAAAAAATTATTAAATTTATTAATGTTTTAAATCATAGAGAATTCTTCGACGATTTTTTTAAGATTTCAAAAAAATATAATAATAAATAAAGTAGTACTTACTTTTCATTTTAATTTAAAAATAAAATTTAAAAAATTTTTAATTTTTAGAATCCATTGTATCTTGAGAAAAATTTGTATAAAAAATTCTCGAAGGAATCTCTAGCGAATCTTTCAAGACACTGGAACTTTGCAATCTATGAAAAAATGATGATAAATCGCTTAATAAATTATAAAAATTGCTTTGTATATAGCCAATGGTTTAAATGTTTTGAAAATATGATCATAAGTATCCATCATTATTCGTTCTTATTCAAGAAAAATCTATACAATATATAAGATATTATAAATAATGACATGATTTTATATTTTGATTGATCATGAATAACAATATAATTACGATTGAAATGATCATAAACTTATAGATATACTTTCATTATATTTGAGATACTTAATTTCATATTCAAATTTTATATTCTATGAATAATTAACACTTTCATTATTTATTATTTTAACTAATCATCACAGAGATCGATGAAACATTATTTTTATTAATCGTATTTATTTCCGTATTATAATTTCGTATTTATTATTTCGAAAATAAATCCTAAATTATTTGCAATTGTAACACAATGCACGCCTTTTTAAAAAAATTCTACGCTTTCTAATAAAACTTGTTAACATGATTTTATTTTCTTATCTTTTCAAATAATTTTAAGATTAATTTTTTATTATTATTTTTTGAATATTATTTGATTGAATATATTATATAATTCTAATCATGATTTTTTTTATCATAAATTATAGAATACTTAATCAAAAAACTAATTAAATTAATTAATTTGCAAAGGGATAAATTTTTATTACAAAAAATTATCTTACCTATATTTCTTTTTTCAATTCCTTTTAACATAATTCCTTTTAACAAATAGATCACTATTTATATTTCATTAAGAATCACGATCATGCAACAAAATAATGCAACAATATGAAAAAAAAAATTTTTTTAAATATAAAAAAAAGAAAAAAATTGCACGATTGGTCAATGGTACGATACGAACCACGATCGAATCCTCAATGCACGACAAAAATTCGTTTATACTATCTGATATGATTAATGCTACGCGATTACACTTTTATATGACGATTACATTATATAATATGATTTTATATTAATTTCAGTTGAAGATAAACAAAAATGTTTGTGCAAATCATGTCGGATAATATACAAATGGATTCTAAATTATTAACATAAAAATCTCCTGCTGTACATAGGCCTGAAAATAACACGAGCGACATCTATATAACTAATATACATGATGGCGTAGAGTGTAGAGAGGAAAAAAGTTGTCCGTATCGTGCTAGTGACGACGTGCCTATGTCAAGTCCATTGTGGGACGTTGACTGTTTCAGTTTATCCGATCGACTGCAGGTCCGATGTCGGGAGAGGAAACGGTGTGACTATCAATTGTCCACGCAGGAAATGCTGGACAAAAAACGAGCCATGGACAATAATCAACTGACTATGCAACTATTCCTATCGCTTTTATTCCTGTTTTCAAAAGTGACGATAATTACGCCAGAATGCTTATTAAATTGATCGATGTATCCGATAATAAACAGATGCAGTGTTGACAATATTGATTGTTGACGAAGAAGAATTTAAAACTATTTATACCAGGAAAGCAAAATCATTGAGCGAAGATCAAAGGCGGTTTCGAGATCAAAGGCGGTTTCAAGAGATCAAAGAATATAATTCTGCAGAGATGTTTTACGAAGATGTTATCTATGATTTGTTGAAAATTAAAAAATGTTTTTACGAGGAATAAGATTTTAAAGAAGAGACTGTTTTGATGATGAACATTGTTTGATTTTGAAAATGAAAATATTGACAATTAATATAAAAGGTGATTAATATAAAAGAAAAGAAGTTTTAATCATAAAAATGTCAAATAATATTTTGGAAAATAATAACAATACTATTTTTTCGATTTCAAAGTTAATTTAGAAAGAAAATAGAAAACTAGACAAAAAAAATGATAAAATTAATCAAATATTAATCAAAAATTAATATTATAATAATAAAATTTCTTAAAAACAAATTTTTCAGAACAACAATAAACGAGATCAAATAAAAAAAAAAATAGAGATAGAATAAAAATTTGAAAATTAACACCATTTCTAGAGTTATATATGAAAATAATATATAGACAAAGAAAAAATCAGAAAAAGATAGATAGATTAAGAATTGACTTTCAACGCCATCTTTTGGATTGTTTTGAAAATATAATATTTTTATCATCTGAAAGATGGCAATAATAGTCAATTTTATCACTATTGTTTCATCTGCGACACTCTAGAGATGGCTCTGATTTCTTAAATTTTAGGTTATCTTCCTATACAGTATATAAAATTTAAGTGACGTTTAGCATATAAAAAACTATTATATTTTTTTTCATATTCTATTAAAATTTTAAATAAATTCAAAATTAAATTGTATAATATTGTATAATTTACAGTTAATTTAATGCGTCTTAAATATTTTAATATTTTAATTTTAGATCTAAAAACAATTTTAAATTTAATAGAAATAAAGCAAATTTTTTTTTGAAATGTTACAATTTTGATTTTAACAATTTGATATTATAAATATATAATATAATATTGATTTATCAAGTCGTATAAAATTTTATGATGTAATTTATATGTATATAAAATAAAGTTTTCATAAAAAATATTCACCATGAATATTTGCTATTTATATAATTAATATAATTGAAAATATACAAATAAATGTAATTAAAAAATTTAAATTTATAATAAAAATAATATTTTTATTCCCTTTATGCAAACTTTAAGAAATTTTCAAAACGGTTTAAAAATATTTTAGAAAAAAATTTTAAAGAATTATTTTAAAAAATTAATAAATATTTTATTTTTATTATTTTTAGTAATAATATCTATATAATCTATATATAATATATATGAAAAATATTAGTCTTAAATAATATATTTTATATTGCTTTTTTTTATATAATATTTTTTTTTCCAATATAAATCACAAATATTTTATTACAAAAACACAATATTTAAAAATAAAACTATAAACATCATATATATAAATACATAATTCATTACTATTTATACAAATTAAAAATTTAAATAAAAAAGTACCCTGATATTTAATAATATCATTATCATATATATATATATATATATGTTTTATATATGACTTAGTTAAGTATCTATTATAA